CGCCCGCCCCCCCCCCGTCTCTTGACTGCTCCCTCCAGAACCTCCCTGCCCCTTCTCCGACCCCCTGGCCTCCTTACTCTGCCGCTCAGACCAGCGTGCCGGGGAGGAGGAGCAGGGGGAGGAGCTCCAGACTGCCGGTGCGAACGGCCGGCTGGTGATCTGCAAATGCAGGGAGGGAGCGATCTCTGCTGCAGGGGAGAGGAGGGGTAAGAGGGGGAGGGGCTCTCTGGCTGTCAGAGCCCCATGTAAGTGGCACCATCTTGCCGGCCTCCCTGTTAGCCGCGCGTGCTCTGCATGGGGGGGGAAGTCCGGACATTTGGGTCACAGTGGACGAGAAGCTGGATATGAGTCAACAGTGTGCTCTTGTTGCCGAGAAGGCTAACGGCATTTTGGGCTGTATAAGTAGGGGCATTGCCAGCAGATCGAGGAACGTGATCGTTCCCCTTTATTCGACATTGGTGAGGCCTCATCTGGAGTACTGTGTCCAGTTTTGGGCCCCACACTACAAGAAGGATGTGGAAAAATTGGAAAGAGTCCAACGGAGGGCAACAAAAATGATTAGGAGTCTGGAGCACATGACCTATGAGGAGAGGCTGAGGGAACTGGGATTGTTTAGTCTCCAGAAGAGAAGAATGAGGGGGGATTTGATAGCAGCCTTCAACTACCTGAAGGGGGGTTCCAAAGAGGATGGAGCTCGGCTGTTCTCAGTGGTGGCAGATGACAGAACAAGGAGCAATGGTCTCAAGTTGCAGTGGGGGAGGTTTAGGTTGGATATTAGGAAACACTATTTCACTAGGAGGGTGGTGAAGCACTGGAATGGGTTACCTAGGGAGGTGGTGGAGTCTCCTTCCTTGGAGGTTTTTAAGGCCCGGCTTGACAAAGCCCTGGCTGGGATGATTTAGTTGGGATTAGGTCCTGCTTTGAGCAGGGGGGTTGGACTAGATGACCTCTTGAGGTCCCTTCCAACCCTGATATTCTATGATTCTATGATTTAGAAATTCCCCCCGAACGCTATTTTTAGCTCTAAAATCCGGACATGTCCGGGGGAATCCGGACGAATGGTAACCCTAGAGAACCACTGATCTAGAGGAGCACATCTAGCCAGAGGTGAATTAAGATTTATTGGGGCTCTGGGCACAAAGAACATTTCGGCTCCCCACACCTAGGGGGGCCATACCCCCCATTTTTAACATGGGCGTAGTAACCTTGGGCAGGTGGCAGGAACTGCGCTTCACTGTGGGGGAGCTGATAAGGTGGGCAGGGCCTGGGTCTCTGCACTTAGTGGCTTCCAGCCCTGGGCTGCTCAGTGCATCTCACGGCTTCCCTCTGCTGAGTGGAATTCACCAGTGCAGGGCAGCGCCCAGTTCTCGCTTGCGTCTCTTGTCTCTGTGTCTGTCTGTCTGTCTATGTCTGTGTGTTGTGGCTAGCTATGTCTCTGGGTCTGTCTGGGTCTGTCTTGTCTCTCTCGGCGTCTGTCTGGTTTTGTCTCCAAAGACTCAATGATTTCAATAAGTATTTTCTTGCATTAAATTACAGAACCCTGCTGCCCCTCCTCCTCCATGCTCTCCAAGCTCCCAGACAAGCCAGCGGGTGAGCTTGTCCCAACGTGCTTTATCTTGGTCCCCAGGGAACACTGCCCTGGGCTGATAAGAAGCTCCATGTTACCCAGAAGGCCAGTCTGTGCCTCTCAGGAGCTGCAGCATGGGAGAGGCATGGGTGGGGTGTGGGGCAGCGTTATGCCACCATTGCTCCTCCAGGACACTGGGTTGGGCTGGGGTACCCTATGGTGCCATGGAACAGCCTCCCATGGAGTGCTCCACTGCCCCAGACTAGCAGGGGCCCAGTGCATGCCTGCTCCCTCTGTTAACACACCTCCTCCTGTCCCTGATGGCCTTACGCTGGGGACTGCCTGGAGGAGGTGGTGCAGGGCTATTGTGCCAGCCCCACTCCTGGGGAACCCGCTGGTGCCAGGCAGGGGATCTTCCCTGGAAACCCCTTAAATCGGCTTGGCAGTAACTTCCTAGCAGCTGAGGCTCTCCGGAGTGCCCGCAGCAGCCACAGGACGGGTCCGGAGTTTACTGAGCTTCAGCCTGGGGTGTATTTAGAAACAGGAGCAGCCTTCCACGGTCTGATTTCTCATGGGATTTTATTAATCAGAGCCCCACTGTTCCATGCGCAGGGCACTTCAACCAAACTACAAAGCAGCAGGGGACCGGCAGAAGCGCATTGCCTTAGCTACCCTCTGGTAACAGTTCAGTGTCAATATACTAATAGCTCTGCAGGGCTCATGCAAATATTTGACCACCTCAGTGCACCGAGCAGCGGCATGGGCTCCCTGAGAACGTGGAGCGTCAGCCCGCAGCAGGGCAGGCCGTGCTGCCTCCGTCAGATGGCAGACTGCTCCTGCAGGAAGCTTTCCGCGCCCCCCGCGATGCTTCTCTCGGGCTCGGTGGCCAGAGCAGCTTCGCGCAGCACCGTCATGTGCTCCTCCGCAGCAGACAGCGATTGGTCGATCCAGTCCATGCCACTGGTTAGGTGGCAGGCGTTCCTGGTCACCAGGACGAGGTGGCTGACAGACAGCAGCAGGGCTGTTGTCCTGCAAGGCAACCAGGATGCTGTTACAAGTGCTTGAGGACACCAGGCCTTTGTACCACGGTGCCTGGGCAGGAGGTCTGGCCGCTGCAGCCTCCCCGGTGATACTGCTCAGGGATGGGGTGGGACATGCCAAAACGGGACTTTATCAACCAGTAGCTTTATTAATCTCTCAGCAGGAGGCAGTGTGGCCCAGTGGATAGCTTAGCAGACTGGGACACGAGACCTAGGTTCTAGGCCTGACTCTGCCACTGGCCTGTGGGGTGACCTTGGCCAAGTCATTGCCCCACTCCGTACCTCAGTTTCCCCCTCTGGACACTAGGGATAATTGTACAGATTTCCTTTGTAGTGCACTTTGAGCGTGACACAGGAGCTAGGTGGTGGTGGTATTATACAGAGGTATTAGTAATTCTGCATCAGAGCCCCAGTCATGGCCCAGGCACCGCATAAACCCAGCAGTCCCGTGCTGGGACAGAGAGGCCCATGGGAGTCAACTGGCAAAGTGTTCACTGTGGTGTAATAGCAGCTCCTGGCAGGCCTGGCAAACTCACTGCCCCAGGCCCAGCGCACTGCTTTCCTGGTACTTCTCCATGAGTGATGTCCCAGGAGATCCTAGGTCAGAGTGGGCATTAATCTCGGTGTGCAGTGGTAGCACAGGTGCAGTGTCAGGAAGGAGGTGTGGGCACTGACACTCTGCTTTAACATCTGTCACCAGCCAAAGAGGAAGGCAGGTGTTTTCCAGACAGGAGGTCAGAAGCACATCTCTGTCTAATTCAGCATTGTGAGCTCGCGCAGTGGAAGCCCCAGTTACAGATGAAGTGGACAGAGGAATGGGACATCAGCAGGGAAGAGCACTCCAGGGAACAAGCAACGGGGGGAGTTTACTCTCTCTGAGGAAAACCAATGACCTTTGGGGATACAAGCAGAAGGCAAAGAGACACTCCCAGGCAGGAACTGGACAGGCCTATTCCATTCATGAAAACAGAATGCCGGCCTGCCCTGGCAGGAAATGCCACAACGGACATTTGGGTACGAGAAATGGCCGTAGCCAGAGCGGAGCCTGGTAAGTTTAGGCTTTAGACGTTGCGTTCGGATTTGGTTTCCGGTACCTTTGCTCACTAACGCTTTACGCTCTCATCGTTGCTAATAAGCATGTTGGTTTCACTAGAACGATACCCCAGTGCTGGGTGTTCTACAGGGCGCTGAATCATTCACGCTTTCCTGCCCTGTTCCTAGGAGGCAGTAAACCTGCTATTCTGTGAGCGCTCAGCGGACAAGGGGCTGAACACTACAGGGGACACTTCCAAGGGGCTCAGAGGACGGGGTGCACCTCTTGTTAACTGGCAAGGCAAAGTATGGGCTGGCACGGCCCTGGGGAGATGGTTTGGGGGCCAACAGACTGGAGTGTCAGGGAGTTGATACCCAGTTAAGCTCAAGTAATTTTTCCTTGTGCTGAAGGCAGAGGAGTAACCAGGTGACCCACAGTCTTGGGTACCCTGAGAACCGTCACATTTATGTTTCTACGTTAAGGCTGGGTTTGTGTTTTCACGTAACACTGGGACTGTTTGGCCAGCCCTGTGCAAACTGAGCCCCATTCTCGGTCGGCCCCTGGGCACATCTGTTACAATTATTGTTCTTTAACCACTTTGTTCTGGAGGCAGCAGAACCTAGCGTACCAACCCACGTGTGCAGCACAGAATCTGTGTACACAGATGGAATTAGTGGGGAGAGATTTTCAATAAACTCTAAGAAGATAAATATCTGCAGCGTCTCACCTTCTCCCACCTCTTTTGCTAATAAACGGCCCATCTGTGTCCTGCCCACTTTCATACAGTTAAACTCGCTGCAGACGAGTGACAAATGCACCTTGGAGGACACTAGTTGCAGTTAAGCAAGGCCATTAATGCTGTTCATTTCTCTCTTTGCCATTAAACCCTCCCTCCCAATGGTTGCCGTTTCTCACAAGTTACAATGGGCCAGGAGCTGCCCCATGGGCTCGAAGCTGCTCCTGCCCTCAGCAAAGATGGCCGCTATCTCACTAGTGGAGGGGCATGCCTCTAGTAAAGATGGCTGCCGCTGCTGCCTCTGTACCCAGCATGCTCGGCCCAGCTCCTGACAGTAGCCCAAAGGACAGCAGTAGTCTCTTGGCTGCAGATGGCCGTGCAGAGATGTACCCATCGCCAGTGTAACCCACACCCAGGATGAGTGTGGGTTACACCAGGACACTGCTTCCATCCTGGTGGTGCCTGTACGGCCGCGACCCTCTGCACACGTCAAGTGTTTCTTTGGATCTTTCCCCTTCTCTACAGCCCAAGCTGATCACCTAGGCGGTCATTAAATCTCCGCCTGCGCCCACGCAGGGGGCTATGGAGGTGAAAGAGACCCTGTATCACACTGTGCGTGCTACCTGCATCACGGCGTGCCAGAGAGCACAGCCAATACAGGCCTCACATGTGGGAGAGGAGTGGGCAGGGAGTGGCTGGAGCTCGGACTCCATCCCCAACCCAGGCTCAGCTGTGCTGGAGGAGCCAGCACCTGTCCTAGGGGAGGGGCTGGCCCAGGAAATATCTCCCTGGAGCAAGGGGGAGGCAAGGGCCAAGCTGGGACTAAGAGTGGGGCACTGTCCCTGACCGTGGGCTCGTGGTAACCATGCCAGAGCCCTGCATGCAGGTGTGGCAGCCCTTATTCATCTCCCGGGGAGCGAGCACCTTCCCCCAGCCCACACACTAATTCACTCCCACGACCCAGCTGCTCCTCGCTCTTCGGGGGAAGCCCTGGGAAAGGCACTGAGGACAGGATCGGGCCCTCAGGATGGATGCAAACAGCATTAGCTTCTCCTGGAGCGCTGGGAAGGAATGTGTGTGCCAGAGCAAGGCGCAAACTCCACCAGGGCAGCAACGTAGGAATATAAATAATAATAGGGAGCTTGTCCACAACAGGATGTGGGCACCTAACTGCCACGGTAGGTATCTACGTCCCAGAATCAGGCCTAACTGGGATTCATGAGCCCCCCGCTCAGCAGCTGTCAAACGCTGTAAGCACCTAAACCCTCTGGGCACCACATTTTTGCAATAAAAGCTGTCTCGTTGCCTATGTTTCTGCCTGCGTGAGTACGCGCTGCAGCCCCACGCTCAGCATCCAGCCGTCCCAGCGTGACGTGTGAACTGGGGGAAGACAGGTGACCCTCCGCCTAACTTCCTGTGGGACCCAAGCCGGCAGGCGTGCTCGGAGCTTGCCTTCTTGCTCAGGGCCCTAAAGAACTTATGTAAAATGGCAGGGGGAGGGTAGGTGGCAGGAAGACCCCCCTCATCACTTCTAGCCAAGGGATTAGGCTGTTCCCCTGGGGTGTGGGGGAGATCCCAGTTCAAGTCCTGCTCTGCCTGCTGAGAAGGGATTTGAACAGGAATCAGCCACCCCCCTGGGCAGTACCCTCACCACTGGGCTATGGGGCATTCTCGTGGGGATTTCCCCTGTGGCTAAAGAATGACACCCTAAGAGCCAGTGGCTTTGGAAACCTCGCCCAGAGCTTACCGTGCATCCAGAAGCTTGGGATCCAGAGGCGGGTACATCGACCTCACAACATCATCCACCCTAGGGGGAAGAGAGAGAGCGACCGTTGCTTGTTTTGCACTGTATTTTGCAAGTGCCCTGGTAGCGGTTTGGTTTTTTCCCTCAGCGAGCACATTTCAGAGCCCGGCATCTCTCCCGTTGGCTGTGAACCCCTACAGCGTAGGACGGCACCTAGGGCCAGCGTCGCAAGAGTTCCCACAAGGAGGGGGGCTGATTTTCATAAAAGCCCAGCTCCCATTTGGCACTCAAGGGAGTACTGCCCAGATCTGCAAAAGCGCCTTTTGCCCAGCAGTCCCCACTGAGATCAAAGGGTGGCAATTTCAAAAGTGTCTAAGTGATTTAGGAGCACAAGGCCCACTGGAGGCCAGTGGGAGCTTGGTACTTAGACTCATATGCCAATCCCCAGCCAAGCCAGACACTTATTGAGGTGCCTAACTGGAGCAGAACTCTTCCGAGACTCTGGCCCCAGTTGTGGGTGCTGAGCCCTGGGAAATCGGTTCTTGAGCCCTGTCACAGATGGCACTGGCTTCCAGCTTGCTTTCTGGCTGAAACGCAAAGTGTGACAAGCTCTCTGCTGGGCAGGAAGAGCCACACAGTGTTGCCAAGTCTCATTGATAATTGGTGTTTTTCTTAAAGCCCCAGCTCCTGGAGTCCTGTGATCAGGTAAGACTCTCCGCTTACATTTAAAAAACAAACAAACAAGGAAGGTTCTAGCCCCTGTGGCTGTGGAGACAGGCTTGGGAATGGGACTCCAATGGCTCAAAGACCAAACAGCAAATAAAAAGCCATTTATTATTGTTAAGATCTCATGGGATTTGGGACCTCACATGAGGTTTGGATGTTTGGAGTCAGCACTACTGTGAATCTGAATTCGCCCATGCTGTCATTCAGGGGTTATTGCAGATGCCCGATGTTTCCAGGAGTTGCCTGGCCTTTGGAACTGCAGACCAAGTTGAAGCTGTGCGCCCTCAGCCGAAATGGACTGCCAATCCCCTCCACTCACCTGGGGCTGATCCGCTTCGCGACCACAATAATGTCACTCAGGCTCGCGGGAGATTTCATTCGGGCCCCAGAGCCCATTGTCATTGCAACGAGCTTCTCTGTCAAAGTGTGACAAATCTGTTGAGCGAGAGACGTGATCAGCTTGGCTCATTAGAGGCTAGCGAGAGAGAGAAGGACTTGGGAGCCTAGTGGTTAGGGTGCTCCCCTGGGGGAGACAGCTCTCAGGCCAATGCCTATTTACAGATTTCATACACAGTAGAACAACTTCAACAGGAGAGCTGGTGGGACTCCCACCCCAGAACACCCCCTTGGGGGAGGGGAGATTTGGGTTTGAGTCCCCGCTCCCAACCATTGCAGAGTGGGGACTGCAACCTGGGTTTCCTACATCCCAGGGGAGCTAACCAGCAGGTACTGGGCATAAGGGCACAGTGACTATGCTGGGCTGAGCTGGCCCCAGGAGAGAGTTCTCAGCCGAGAATCCCAAGCAGAGAGATGGGTGCCCAAATCCCTTAGGGGGCAGGTCTTAGGCCCCATCTCTCCCCTCAGCATTTCCTGCTGGCTAGTGTAGGTGGCTCCCTGCTCATCTTTCTGGCTCCTGAGAAGCCCATTCTTAGGTGCCCAGCTCTGCCCATGCATCGTACAGGGAGCCTAGGGGCCTGGCCTGGGACTGTGGATTCCCTAAGAGCTGCCACGTCGGAGGGTAAATCTCCTGTGTGGATCGAGCCCGAAGCCTCTGGGAGAATCCTCCAGACCCCTGGCACTGATTCCCTGACCAGCAGCCTGGGTTAATACCCAGGGGAGGCGTTTCTGTGCGGGACTTACCTTGAGAATCGCGATGCAGTGAGAGACCAGGCCCCTGCGAAGAAAGAACGCCTTTGGTTAGAAAAGCTCTGTCTTGTTACTGGCTCTTCTTCTGTCCGCCAGCCTGCGGCGGAAACTTCATCAGCTAAGCATGTCCCATGGGCTCCACAGAGCCTCACTGGTATCATTACAACGTTACTTCACAACCAAGCCCTCAGCGATCGACTGGAAGCAGGGTGCGCTTGTCTAACAGGGCGGGAAGGCCTGGTCCTCACCTAAAACTGAGGTCAACCTGCCTACGTGGCTGAGCAATGTGAAAAATTCACCCCTGAGAGACGCAGTGTGGACACGGCTAAGTCGTCGGTGGAATTCTTCCACCTCCCTGGCCAGTGCCTCTCGAGGGGGTGGAAAACCACTTCTGTCACTGTAGCGAGTGTCTACGCTACAGCGCTGCTGGTCATGTAACTGCCTGCTGAGGGAGGAGGTGGGTTCTCCCTCACGTGAGTCTTTCACCCCAGGCTAGAGCTCTCTTTCCAGCAGAGGTGTTCTGAGCATGGGGCTCACGTCACCGAGGGCCTTTGGGTGCTCTGCTCAGCACCGGAGCATCGGCCGCAGGTGTCCTGCCATCCAGTGGAATCCACAGCCCCAAGCGAGGTGCCCACGGGCCCCATACAATGCACAGGGAGGGCTCAGCACCTAAGACTGGGATTCTCAGTGGCCAGCCAGCAGAGCAGGGAGTGGATGCAGAGGACAGGGGCAGGGCTTAGGGCCCAGATCCACCACGGTACTAGGGCACTCCGATCCCTATAGTTCTGGGTTGTAGGTGTCTGCCTGACAGGCCAGAGGGAGACGCCTCCTTTCCCTCGGGATTCACAGCGTGGACCCTGGCTGCCCTGGAGTGGGTGCCCGAGCCAGGCCAGCCCTTTCTTCTGCTAACCAGAGAGAGCGCGAGAGCCCGCCTGGCTACAGCCAGCAGCCCAGGGTCAGTGCATTCCCCTGGGGTGTGCAGACCCGTTTCCAGCCCCTGCGCTGCCTGCCTGGGGACAGGGACTTGCTTTCAGCCCTGCCACATTTCAGGGGAGTGCCCTGACTACCAGGCTATTGCACATGCTGGGTGAGGTTCTCTCAGTCTCTCCCGTCGCGAACACCTAACGAAATGTGTTGAGAGGGAGGGAGCACAGACGGGGCGAGTGCCGGGGTTCAGATCCCTGTTGCATGGCAGGCAGCACCAGAGTGCAAACATGGGTCTCCCACTCCCCCGTGAGCACCCCACCCTTGGGGCTGTGTGTTCCCGCCACACGCGTCCTGCTCTCCATTACTTCTTAGCAGTTTGCGTGGGGTCGGCGTGCTCCGAGCACACCTGCCATATGGGCCCCTCTCGGCTCGTCTGAGAATCACGCTGAGGCTTAGGGGTGGGGCACGTGTTGGTCGGGGGGACAGCGTCAGGACACAGGCAGCTTAGTGCATGCTGACGGGCGGGAACACGGGGCTGGTCTACACGTAACAATTAGATCGATGCACTCAGGGGTGGGACAAATCCAGCCTCTGAGCGCCGGAGCTATGCCACCCTAACCCCTAGCTCCTGTTGCTCGGGGAGGTGGATGGAAACCCCCTTCCAGAGCTGCAGGCTGCGTCTGCACTACAGGGTTATGCCGGCAGAGCTCTGCTGCTACAGGACCCATCATGGAAACGTCGCCTGAGACGCCTGTGGGGATCAAGGTGCCTCCAGGGCGAAGTAGCAGCTGAGCAGTGTTTCTGAGCGTCAGTGGTGCCCAGATGTTGGATGTAGATGCTTAAAGAGACAGATCAGAGCCTAAGTCCCTTGGTGAGTCTAGTACCTGACCCAGGAACCACTGGGTGGGATGGTCTGGTGGCCCCTTCTGGCCTTAACCTCGGTGATTCTCTGTGCTAGGCAGGACGCTGGACTAGAGGAGGGTCCTTTCTGGCCTTCAAGTCTGAATCTTTACTGGCTTGTTAACCCTCCACCTCTAGCGTCCGTGTTTTGAAGTAGAATCACGCACACGCCAAGGAAAGTTCCTCACACCAAACCCCACCAGCCACCCTGACAAGGAATGGCTCCGAGCACCTGGAACCAAGCCAGAAGGCTGCAGCAGGGCCAGAGATTCCAGACCTGGCTTCCATTTTTGCACCTGGGCACAAACATTGTGACCAGGGATTTGTACCACAAGAATTTGGAGTTGCAAATTAGGGCCCTAAACACGCCTGGGTTTGCACAACTGTCAGGTGACGCACATGAGGCACTGGCTGCACTCCTGGCTCAACAGATAGGCAGGCAACGGGGCACTGAATGATTGTGCTTTGTATTAGAGCAGCGCCTGGGAACCGGACCCCACCCCAAGGAGTTTACACTCTAATCAGCCAAAGGGGGATGGGATCACCAGGAGAGCTGGGGCTAGAACCTGGGTCTCCTGATGCCTCGGCCAAGGCTGCTCCACTAGACCATCCTGCTGCCTACAGTAAGTGATTTTGCTCTAGATAAAAGCATGCTCCCAAGGCAGGCTCTGAACCAGGCGGCAGACGACCGTCCTGGAGCCAAGGAACGTAACCAGGCAGAGCACGGGAGCCCGTTTTAAAGATCACCCAAGAGGCAGCTTTGAAACTCTTACGAAGCGTCTTCGATCCAGTCCTCATTCTCCAGAATGGCCTCGATGTGGGGGTTTGTTATCACGACGTCGTCCAGCTCAAGCTCCGAGGGCTCCGACTGCGTCTCCATCGCCCCAATAAGGTCGACGATCGGTCTGGAACAATCAGGAATGGGTCATTCAGCACCTGGCACAGGGGGCAGTCGGGATGGCTAACTAAGGGGCACGTTTTCTAAGCACCCAAGGGCCAGATTTACAAAGGACTTTAGGCACCTAGGGGCAGTGCCCAAGCCCCATGGATTTCAATACAAGTTAGCACCTAACTTGCCTAGGTGCTTTTGAAAATCCTGCCCAGCTCCTAGTTCCAGCTTTGGGTGCCCGACCATCTTTGTAAGTCTGGCCCAAAGTGACCAAAGAGCCTGGGGGGACAATATCCAAGAGTGCCTAAGGCCCAGAGCCTCAAAGACATTTAGGTGCCTAACTCCCATTGTCAACGGGAGTCACGTTTGAAAATGGGACGTAGGCTTCCAAGTCATTTGGATGCTTCGCAGAGTTTGAGCTGTTAGAGCCTTCTATTTTCAGCTGCATCTGGCCAAGATTTTCAAAAGTGACCTGTGATTTTGGGGGCCCAACCTGAGACTCCCCAATGGGTCCTGCTTGTCAGAAGGTGGGCACACAGCACGCAGCCGGGGTATAAATGATGTCCCAAGGGGCAGGGCTCAGGCGAGTGTGGACCTTTGGGTTTGTGAGAAATTCTCTCTTGGAAATGTTAGAAACACGATTACTGACCCACCTGGATTTTCTGTTCTGTTACCCCGGGGATAACCGCCACCGGGGACCCTCCGAACCGACTGAGCGTCCCTGAGTCTGCACAGGCTGAGCCGACAGAGCGGGACGGGGTCAGTTCAGATTCTTGCCCCAACGTGTGCTCAGTGATAGTCTGTTGTTCTCACTGGGCGCACAAACTCGTCCACTGGGGAATATTCTCCTTGTCACATATAAAAGTTAGTCTAGTCTGTGTAGGTTTCTCATCATCCCAGTAGCTGAGCACCTTCCGGTCATGCACAAAGTGACGTGACTACACCTCTCTCTCCTCCTCTGCCTGGGGCAGAATTGTGCTGTGTCCCTGCTGGGCAGGGACAGGAAATGCAAAGAATCCATCTATGCTGGTTTAAAAGGAGCGTAAGGGAGACGGGCGCTCTGATTTTCAATGGGATCTGAGTTTCTAACTCCTTAGGCCCGGCCGACCCCCAGGTTTGTATAATGTTGGCGGTTAGGGGGAGCGCACCATGGGCCTAAGGCAATGCACCCCACTGGCCTGGATGTGGGTACACTGGGATAAAGGTGCCTTGTAGCTATTCCCCTTCCCCACTTCGTAAAGCACTTTGATCTCCGTGTAACCACATCCACAGCATTGCAGTCAAAGCCATACAGTTTTCTAACGAGGACAAGGCTTTTCTCTGCCATCACGCTCTCTGCCTTAGTTATCTTGCCATTTCTGTGTCAGTCGTCAGCCATCGCCGGCAGGGGCGCTGACTGGCCGTGACTGTTGAGCTGGGCAGACAACCTGACCTGGTAGTGTTAGGTTCTGCAGTGCGTCTCCGGTGCATCAAGCACTGCCTGGACTCGTCAGTACCAGCAGCTCTGAAATCTGCATGCATTCCACCCGTCATTCCACTTTTCAATCAGTCTTTTTGCTTCCTCCCTCTTAATTTGGTGCAAGTGGAGGAGGGGGCTGGACACTTACTTGGTATCATAATGATTCAGGAGATCCTTAGGCCGGCAGTAGCGCTGCCTGCAAACCACCACAAGCGCCACGAAGGACGCCAGGAAGATAGTAGCCAGCACGCCGATGGCAACTATCACCACGGTTTCCATTTCTGCCGAGCTGCTCTCCTGCGCACGGTCAGATGTGCAGTTCCATCTCGTAAGGCACCTCCAGAAATGCTTTATCTGGAACAAAGCAGCACAGAGTGAGCGCCCAGAGAGCAAGTGGGGACCCATTGCTGCTCAGATGATCTGGAAAACTCTGAAGAAGCAAATGTCTCCGTAGAGAGACACTGGCCAGGGAAACATTTCACAACCATTTTTGAGACTTTTCCCCATTGTTTCCAATTTCAGAATGGAACACTCCAAACTCTTTACGACTTGATAGGATCCATCTATAGCAGGCCAAAGAATGAGTGGGGCAGGGGAGAGAGGGATTCTCACCCAAATTTCCCATTTATTTTTCAAGTGTTCAAAATCCCAAACATCATAGAAATGTCAAAATTGGAAACATTTTTGATAGCTCTAATGTGTTAGGTCAATCTACACAGCGAGAGGAGAGCAGCTGGCCAGGAACTGACCAGTGGAACTGTGGCCTGTAGTGTGGGGCTGGGCTCAGTGGCCCAGGGGGTTAATTCCAGTTCTATGTCTTATGTTCTCAATTTCATGCTTCAGGGCTTCAGCCTGTCGCCTGCTGGGGTCAGGAAGGAACTCTTTCCCCCCCGATGCAGTCTGGGTTATTTTTTCTTCCTTCCTCTGAAGCATCAGAGATGGATGCTGCTGGAGACGGGTTCGGAGGTGGTACAGAGAATCCTCTCTCTCAGATGCCTGGCTGGTGTGTCTTGCTCACATGCTCAGGGTCTAACTGATCACCTTTTTCGGGCTCGGGAAGGAATCTTCTCCCAGCTCAGATTGGCAGGACCTGGGGCGGGGGTGGGATTCACCTTCCTCTGCAGTGTGGAGCATGGTTCACACCCCACTAATCAATTCCCTGCCACTGCAGAGGCCTTGGCATGCTGGCACCTCGGTGCCCCCATTCTCTGCTTGTGGTGCACTGAAGTCACTCTCTGGAGGGCCGTAATGTTTTTGTCTAATCCAGATCATTGGACTCGGTGCAGAGGCAACTGGGTGGGGTTTGGTGACCAGTGCTGCACAGGGGCTCAGACTGGAGGCTCTGATGGCCCCTTCTGGCCTTAAACTCTACGACTAACTGGGTCAAACCGGGTGACCTGTGAGATCTAGTCAGAGCCAGAGTGACTGGTGCCCACCCTCGCACCAGGACCCTGAGCACGGCAGCTAACAGAGTAACCCACAAGCATGGGTATTACTTATTCTACGGAGGCACCTGCAGACGTCACCCGAGCGCAAGCCCCGTTGTGCAGGCGCTGTACTAACACCCCTGAGACAGCCCCTGCCCCAAAGAACTGACCACTGAAAAGGCCGGGACTTGCCCGAGGTCACCGGCAGAGCTACAAATAGAAGCCAGGTTCCCTGACTCCCACACCAGAGCCCTACCCTCTAGACCCTACCCACGACCTGTCACAGACACAAGGTCTGTAAAGGTGAAGCTCAGGTTGTGGGCACCTCCCAGTGAGCTGGCTAAACGCTGCCTCGCAGGAGCATTGGTTACAAAGCACTTAGCTGGATAGCCCGGGTTCAGGTCGCTCTTCCCCAGTCAGTCACAGAGATGCCCCGCTCCCAGCATCACCAGCAGAACCGGAACAGCGCCAGGTCCCAAAGCCCTGTCTCCTGGCATTGAGCCAGTTCCGCAGCCCTGTGTGTGCAGTCTCCACCTCACACGTTTCCCCAGCATGACGGTGCTTGTCCTGGCAGCACCCAGGAACAGCTCCAGGGCCTGGTTGTGCCAGGTGCTGGACACAAGATGGTCTCTGCCCCCCGGGGCTGACAATCTCAGGATGAGACAAAGCAAGACTGACAGACAAGGGAGCACAGGGGAATCCTGGTCAGCAGGCAGGGCAGTGGTTCCAGAGCACTGGCAGCCCAGTGCAGGTCAAGTCTTTTGCAGGCATCATGGCAAAGGAGAGTTTTGAGGAGGGCCTGGCCAATGGGGTGGCTTTGCAGGTGCTCGGGGGAGCTCCTCCCAAGCACAAGGGGCAGCGGGGGCGAAGGAGGCTGGGCTCCTGGGCTGCTCAGAGGCGAGCGTTGCCATTGTGATAGTGAACGAGGGATGCTAGGTACAGTGGGGACTGGGGACTTGAACGAAGGCAAGCGGCTTATGCTGGATGCAGTGAGGAGGAGATGCGGTCACAGCAGTAGGCTGGAGAAATGAACTCTGTAGCAGCATTCTGAACGGACATGAGCGGGGCAGGACAGCCCGCGCCGAGGCCAGCCAAGAGGATGTTGTGCTGAGCAGGACGCGATAGGATGGGAGCCTGGGCCAGAGCTCCAACCCTGGGGATAGGGAAGGCTGGAGCTGAGAAATGTTCTGCAGAAAGTGCCGGTAAGATTTAGACAGACTGATGTGAGGACCTAGAGAAGGGGCTGAATCCAGGGATGCCCAGTTTCCAGGCCTGAGTGACGGGCAGGATTGTGGTGCTGTCTTCCATGATGGGGAAAGGAGGTAATGGGGAAGAACTGGGGGGAAGATTAAGAGTCAAGTTTAGCCATGTTGAGCTTGGGCTGATGTCTAGCCATCCACTAGAAGCCGTCAGAGAGATGGGAAGAAATCTTAGTTTGGGCAGGGGACAGGTCTGGAGCAGAGAGGTAGATCTGGGAGTCAGTCACCAGCCCCAAGGTAGTTGCTGAATTTGTTTGCGGGGGCGACTGCCCACAGATAAAGTGTGGGACCAAGGACGGAGCCCTGTGGAAACCCCCAGAAATCTGGAGAGGCGATGAGGAGGATCCACTGAAGGACACATGGAAGGAGCAATTAGAGAGATATGAAGAGAACCAGGAGAGGACAGAGCCCTGGCAGCCAAGGGAGGACAAGATTTCATGGTTGATGGTGTCAAAGGCAGCTGATGAGGATGGAGCACAGGGTCTGAGCTTTGCCTTGGAAGAGGTCATTAAAGACGTTGGCATAACAGTTTCAGTGGCGTGCAAGGGCAGCCCCTAGGTTGAAGAGGGTCTTTCGTGGGACTGGAGGAAGAACTCCAGACAGCGACTCAATGAGCATACAGATGGAAGGTAGGTGGAGAGCAAACGGGTCCAGGGTGGGTTCTTTGGAGGTGGGAGAGACTAGAGCATGCTTGTATTGTGACGGAACAAGCCAGAGGGGAGAGAGAGGCTCAGGAGAAGAATGGGAGACAAGGCCAGAGGTGGTGATGTTGCTGGACCCCTGGCCGCTTTCACTCATGATCACCTGTCTGCCAAGGTCATATGACGTTGTTTTCACTGGATCAATGCCAGCCTAACGAATTGCCAGCCGGCTGTGGACAGCAGTCACGCTGGCGCTGTGGGGAGATGCCTGGCACTGCAGTCCATTCTGTTTGGTGGGTGACTTGGCCAGAACTTGTTGCTTTTTAAAATCTCATGATTATTAAACCAATCTTGTAACTTTTGGGACCTGACTCGTGATTTCTGAACACTTGGGGGGCTGCCTTCATCACCCCAGTCCCTCTCCCTCACCAGGTCCTGGCTGTCCCCCACCCCTGTTCCTAAGAACTTAAGAATGGCCATACTGGGTCAGACCAAAGGTCCATCCAGCCCAATATCCTGTCTACCAACAGTGGCCAATGCCAGGTGCCCCAGAAGGAGTGAACCTAACAGGTAATGATCAAGTGATCTCTCTCCTGCCATCCATCTCCACCCTCTGACAAACAGAGGCTAGGGACACCATTCCTTACCCATCCTGGCTAATAGCCATTAATGGACTTAACCTCCTTGAATTTATCTAGTTCTCTTTTAAACCCTGTTATAGTCCTAGCCTTCACAACCTCCTCAGGCAAGGAGTTCCACAGGTTGACTGTGTGCTGTGTGAAGAACTTCCTTTTATTTGTTTTAAACCTGCTGCCCATTCATTTCATTTGGTGGCCTCTAGTTCTTATGTTATGGTGTGACGAACTGGGACTGTTCTTACTGTGGGCTTTGAATGCTGACAGGGGAGTGTGGCTAGGATAGTCTGCATTGGGGGATGGGAGACTGACCGACGGAGAGTACCTGAGCATGTAACATGAGAACCCAGGAAGGGGTTAGAGGCGAGGTGACACCTTTGCCCGGGAAACTGAACAAAGGCTGTGGGAAGGATCGCTGAAGGCAGAGTCTCAGGAGCTGGCTGGTGATGTGGCTGGGAGGGGAACAGGGCTCTGACCTCCCAAGGGGGCTGTGGTGCCCTGGGACCCCAAGATGGACCTAACTGAGGGGGGTCCTGTTGTCTGTGGCTGCAAGGCCTGTCTTGGACTGTATTCCTGTCGGCTAAACAAACCTTCTGCTTTACTGGCTGGCTGAGAGTCATGGTGAATCGCAGGAAGCCGGGGGTGCAGGGCCCTGAGTCCCCCATACTCTGTGATATATGGGAACAAGTAAATAACTTTTCCTTATTCACTTTCTCCACACCACTCATGATTTTATATATCTCTATCATATCCCCCTTAGTCTCCTCTTTTCCAAGCCGCTTTAATCTCTCCTCATATGGGACCCGTTCCAAACTCCTAATCATTTTAGTTGCCCTTTTCTGAACTTTTTCTAATGCCAGTATATCTTTTTTGAGATGGAGACCACATCTGTATGCAGTATTCAAGATGTGGGCGTACCATGGATTTATATAAGGGCAATAAGATATTCTCCGTCTTATTCTCTATCCCTTTTTGAATGATTCCCAACATCCCGTTTGCTTTTTTGACTGCCGCTGCACAATGCGTGGGCGTCTTAAAAGATGTCTCTGTCTGCTGCTGCCCTCAGTCCAATTTCAGCTGTATGTCGCCATGGCCCTGACCCAGCTATTTGAGACTCCCAGAGCAATTCCAAGGGGGCTTCTTTTTATTAGTTGATTTGTTTTCAGCTTCTTTTTCAAAAATCTTAGTTTACAATCTGCTAAGCTGCAGGAAATTGCCCCGAGTCTTTGCCTGGGGAAGATCCCAGAGTCGTTAGCCCACGTAAATCAGGACTGTGTTATTATTGTATCTGTATTGTCTCTGTCTGGCATCCCTCAGCCTTCCTCTGTTTGCCCAGCGCTGGGCCTGCTTCACAGGGACACGCAGACCCTGGGACAGGTCCACCCAGCACAGGCCCGTGGAAGTACCTGTATTGGGGCCAGGCCTCAAGCACACAGAGCCCAGTCAGTGTCTGGACCTGGCTTGGGCCCAAATTGCACAGGTCCCCGACCCCATGAGCACACGCGGTATTGGAATCCCTGAGCACCCCAGCTGGCGGGGAGGGGACGTGCACTGTTCTTGAGAGGTACAGAAAGATGCTGGGGCGCCAGGGAGCCGGGAGGGGGAGTGCAGCATGGGCAAGAGCCCTGCTCACTATTCTAACAGAATTCCTTGTTCTGTGTTAGAAAAAACATTCACACTGGGGCCCAGACAGCTGAGGGATCCAGGAGTGCCCAGACCCAGCCCAGGCCCAGACCGCACCAAGATCTGGTAACCCAGACCCCACCCAGGCCTGGCCTAGACGGCAAAGGGACCATGGGATACCCAGGCCCGGCCCAGACAGTCCGTGGGATACCCAGGCCCGGCCCCAGAGCACCAGGTGCAAAGTGCCATGGGTTCCCTCCAAACTGCACGGGGGAGAGCAGCCGGTCCCAGCCCTGGTGGCACAGGGCCCCACGAAAGGGGCAGGGAGCTCGGCCAGCTGCCAAGCTGAGCTGGGACAATCTGGTTTGCAAGCCCAGAGCCCTTGAGCAGAGCAGATTATTGCTGCTCTCGCAGGGCCGGTGCCCTGCCCTCGGGGTCTCGGCCCTGGGGAACCTGGGCAGGCAGGGATGAGGAGAGCAAGGAGGGCCATAGGGTGAGCTCAGAAGGATGGTCCGATCCTACAAACTGGAGTAAAGCTCCAAGCTTTCCTACCTGACTGCCGAGGAGCACAGCCAGCCAGCCGCCAGCACTTCCGCAGGGCCGGGGAAATGGAGCAAACACTCGCAGCTCAGCCTGACCTTTACCCCAGTGATTAATATCCCAGCTGCTGCAAACCCAGCAGGGATGGTGCTGCCTGGCTAGGAGGGCTGGGGCTGCAGCGTCGCGCCTCCGCCAACCTGTCACCCACACTGCAGCGAATGGTGGGGAGGCCAGGCCTGTTGCTGCATCGGCCCCCCACCTGCTCCCTCTGGCTTGTCCCTGGCAGGGCCTGCAGCCCCTAGTTCCTCCCTTTGGGAGCTCACCACTTGCTTTCTCCTCCCCGTGTGGTTATATGATCAGCATTTGGTGTTCTCTCAAGCCCCAGCTGCTGGAGTCAGGTGATCACGAGAGACACTTTCCTTGCCAAGAAAAAGTTTCTAGCTCTCCTGGTTGTGGAGCAAAGCTGAACACATGTCCCCACCTCCCGTGTTCCAACACCAGAAGCCAAATCTCCCCCTCATCCCACAAAACCCTTGTTATTTAAAAAAAAAAATGCATGATTTGTCAGGGCCAAACTCATCATTTTGGCCCCTTGTGGGTCCAAGTCAGTCAGCTCTTCCAGGTGGCTCAACGCCCATTGCAGAAGCTGGTGTCACTGGTAGCTCTCAGGCTGCACACCTGGTTTTCACGCTCACCCGCTGTTTTCACTGATTCGGGTGAGACATTCAGAACCCCCTAACAAATGAATCCAGTGCCTGTTTAACAAAGCGCTCTGCGTGCGCGGGGTGGCAAGCAGGGGCACGCGCCCACCCAGTCAGTGGGGGCCCAGAACTCCTCCAGGGTCGGGGCGGGGAAAGCGAGCTCCTCCGGTCCTGGGGCTGCGGGGCAGGGTGGGAGAATCAGCTCCTCCGACCATGGGGGGACAGACTAAGTGCCCTTCCAAAAGTGGCCAAATTTGTATTCCTGTGCATGCCCCTGCCCATGTTGGCAGCCAGGGCAGTAGTGGCAATGTGAAACCATTCAGGCCATCCTGAAATAAGAAACAGACAATGGAGAAAACTTTCTGCTGAGGCAGATCTCAACACAAGCGCCGATTCTGAACAGAACCCCTGGGCTCCTGCTGTGCTCACAAGCACCATGGGAAGATGCCTGATTCCTTGTTTTTTTAAAGCTAGCTCAGTGTTAAAGGCGTGGGAGTCAATAGGGCTATTCAGGACAGAAAGTTAAGACAGTGAGTTCACAGTTAAAGGCTGCATTGTAATGTCTGCACATAAAGGCGCTTACCTAAGCTTGCAGGCAATGTGGTCCAGTGGCTTTCAGAAATCTGAGTTCTAATCTGGGCTCCTCCAGTGGGCTGCTTAGGTTAGTCACTTTACCCTTCTATGCCTCAGTTTCCCCCTCCCATGCTTTGTCTATTTAGCTTGTAATACTGTCCTGTACTGTCTCTTGCTATGTGTTTGTTCAGCACCTAGCGCAGTGAGGCTCTGGGCCCAGCTGAGATTTCTGGGTGTAACATTTGATGTCCTCCCTGCTTTTGACCGTGTCATTTTCTGCCTGGAATTACATTGTGCTATTTGCCATATTCTGCTGCCGAGCACTGGGCCCTCATCTCATATGCCATATAACAACAGTGTGGTAAAAGGGAGTACAGTTAGGGTCCCCTGCCTGGGGCTGGACCTCACCCCACCTCCCGGCTTTGGGGTGAATGCAATCTCTCTCTTACTGTTGCAAGTTTTTTGTGGTCTAGTTTCACTTTTGTAATATTCCCATTTAGATGGTGGAACCATGTTTCTTGTCTGGCAGCCGGATAAATTGCTGCAGACAGTAATTCAGGCACATTATGCACAATTCAGGCCCCATCCTGCAAACACAATGGGGCTACTCACGAGAATGAAATTACTACTGTTTTTCCAGGATTTGGCCCCACCTCTGAGAAATTCCAAACAGAATTCTACCTACAGACTGCAAATAACCCCAGAGACCAGCCATCATTTTAGTGTTTTACTGTAGCCGATCTCCAAGCTCTAAATATACTGGACCAGATCCTCGGCTGGTGGAAACTAATGTACGTCCACAATGCAACTGTGCTGATTTACACGGAGAACCTGGCCCGCAAACATTTCCCTCTCAGCATATCGAGAAAGGGACGTCTCACATATTAACTCCATACTCTGCCTTCGGCTCATTCTAAGTTTATTTTAGAGAGCACCCTCCTCCCCCAAACAAAAATGGATTGTCACGATCATCAGCAAAAGCCTTCCTATAAAGTCGTGCTAGAGACCCAACAAGAAGGAAAGAACAGCCTGGCCTTTCGAGTGAATTTATAACTTATTGCAAAGGAATTTTGATTTCATGATGGCTTCTCGAACAACTCCCAGGAGGGAAAAGAGCAATCGACAAAGTGCAACCTCCCCCAGGCACGTTTGAATTCTTTAATAGGATTAATACTACAGTTTGAATGTCTTTTCTGCTACCAAACCGCTCACAGAGTGAAAACAAAGCAGTGCTCAGGGTTAGCCATTTACTTGCTGAATAGTTTGTTTTAAAGGACTAAAGCTAAGTTGTATGAAAGTTCCTTAAAATGTGTTTTCTCATTAGCAAGCCCAGTTCAAACACAGCCCTGGAAAGAACAATGCAGATCACATACCAAACTGATTCTTCCCCTTTGGAAGCAAGGCTGCCGGCCGCCCTCGGTCCTGGATCACTGTGCAGTTACCTGGAAATATTGTGTGTCAGACAAAAGGGTCCAACTTGCCAGCGTTGGTTAAACAACTTGCTTTCCCTTCAACCAAGATGGACTCTTTCCCAGCTACTTACATGTGGAGAAGTGCCCACTCCGTTATCCGCACCGTGTGCTCTGGCTTGGGTGCATTCCTGACTGGTGTGCTTATGTGCGCTAGGAGTAAAACTGAACAGACTCAAACCTGACAGGGGGCTGAGAGCTCTCTGCTGGTCAGCTGCTCTCACACTCCACAGGCATTCCGGGATCCCTCTTAGGAGACACAAAGAACCACAACAACTGTGCAGATGCTTCATGACTAGCGTAGCAGGAAACTCCTAATCCAAACACTAAAAGTAACCTTCGAATCTCTGTATTGAATTACCTCCGTTTGCCCCATACACATCTGTCCGTCTGGCTGGCCCCCATTACCATGGGAGCTGAGAGCCTCATCCATGTTTTTCTCGTCACACACCCCTGTGAGGTAGGCAGGGCTGTGATCCCTATTGTACCGTTGGGGAACGGAGACTGAGAGAGACCAAGGGCACTCAGGCACTTCAAACATTGCACGGGCACCAATTCACACCCATAGTGACATTCACTCGATTACAGCAAGAGGCTCACCGACAATTGAAATTAGGAGGGATATTAACCAGGATCCCTGGAGCTTGGCATCTTCAAGACACTCTCTCAAGGCTGTAAACCCAGCATTTGACCGCAGACTCACCCTCTGCATCAGGTGACACAGATCGCGTGAAGGGCTGCAGCAGGGTCCCAGCTAAGATGCCAAGGAATCTAGGGCACGCTAGAGGCAGAGCTCCGAAAAGCAGAGAATGATTGTAATAACTGTAGATCCACAAGCCAGTTTGCAGGGAAAGGCGCTTATCCCAGGCCTGGTGCTTGAAAAGATATGAAAGCTGTGAAACTTGGCTAAAATAAGGGCATTTTTATGTCACTTTCCAGATAGCCATTGGTGACTCCCTGGGCCTGAGTCTCTTCTCCCTCATCACAGCATAAACCAGGAGTAAATGCAGTGGTGTCAGAGTTCTAGTGACGTAAAACCCCGTAAGCCAGAGCAGAATCTGACCCAAACAGCCCAGAACCACTGTGAACTCGTTTTAGTGTCATCCCATCATCCCATTTCCTGCCTAAAGACTGTTCAGCAGCAAAGACTCCAGGCCCGAGTCTCCTTTGCCTCGTATGTCACCTACATTTAGAGACAAGAGAACACAGAATCGCCATATGGTGATGCTACCCTCTTTCCATTCCACTAGTATCTCTGAAGCAGCGGTTCTCAATTTATAAGGCCAGCTAAAGTCTGATTGGGGCATGGCCCCAGCTGTGGCTGTTTCCCCAATCAGCCAAGGCTTGCTGCTCCCCCCAGCAGCAGCCCTCACGCAGCCTCAGCCCTGTCCCAGGGCTGATTTGGAGCCCTTCAGGGCAGGAACGCCCGCCCACTTTCTGGACCCCAATAGGTACAGGCCCACATAACACAGAGAGAGCTGCATATGTTAAACAGATGCTACACCTCTACCCCGATATAACGCGACCCGATATAACACGAATTCGGATATAACGTGGTAAAGCAGTGTCCCGGGGCGGGGTGCGGAGCTGCGCACTCCGGTGGATCAAAGCAAGTTCGATATAACGCGGTGTGACAGACCCAGACCAGTGGGGTACAGGAGTCTGGTAGAGGGCAAATATGCTGGTCACTGGATGAGTAGTTTTCTGTTCCCTGAGTGACCAGAGAAGGGGCTGCACTAGAGTAATCAGGAACCTGCTAGAACCAGTTAAGGCAGGCAGGCTAATTAGGACACCTGGAGCCAATTAAGAAGAAGCTGCTAGAATCAATTAAGGCAGGCTAATCAGGGCACCTGGGTTTTAAAAGGAGCTCACTTCAGTTTGTGGTGTGAGTGTGAGGAGTGGAGAGGGTGTGCTGCTGGAGGACTGAGGAGCACAAGTGTTATCAGACACCAGGAGGAAGGTCCTGTGGTGAGAATAAGGAAGGTGTTTGGAGGAGGCCATGGGGAAGTAGCCCAGGGAGTTGTAGCTGTCATGCAGCTGTTACAGGAGGCACTATAGACAGCTGCAGTCCACAGGGCCCTGGGCTGGAACCCGGAGTAGAGGGTGGGCCCGGGTTCCCCCTAAACTTCCCAATTGACTTGGACTGTGGGTTCTTCCAGAGGGGAAGGTCTCTGGGCTGTTCCCCAACCCACATGGTGAATCTCTGAGGCAAGAAAATCCGCCAATAAGCACAGGACCCACCAAGATAGGGGAGGAACTTTGTCACAGCGGTTTCACCTATAACACGGTAAGATTTTGTTGGCTCCTGAGGATAGCGTTATATCGAGGTAGAGGTGTACTAAAATCTGACATTTTAAGTCCGCAGGTCCAGATACCTTACATCCAAGAGTTTTAAAAGAGCTGGCTGAGGAGATCGCTGGACTGTCAATGTTTATTTTCAATAAGTCTTGGAGCACCAGAGAAGTTCCAGAAGACTAGAAGACAGGTAATGGTGTCCCAATTTTTAAAAAGGTAAAAAGGTAAAACCTGGGTAATTATAGGCCTGTCAGCCTGACTTCAATCCTGGGCAAGATAATAGAATAGCTGATATCAATTAACCTCAGAAGGAGGTACTCATAGGTGCCAACTTTTCCTGGCACCAGTGGGTGCTTGTGCCCCCCTGCCCCCACCCTGACTCCGCTCCTGCCCTGCCCAATGGCGAAGCCAGGTTTTAGCAGCAGGGGGAGCGAACAAATAAAAACAGGCACCACCCGCCACGAAGAAAAAAGAAAAACCCCGACTGACCCGGAGCGGCTGAAGGACCTGCCACCGAAGTGCCGCCGAAGACCCGGAGCGGACTCGGAGTGCCGCCGGGTGAGTATAAGCGCCGCCGAAGACCCGAAGCGCCACCGGGTGAGTAGGTGCCACTTTTCTGCTCAGTGGGGGGGACTAGTGTCTAGTGGTTAGCACAGTGGCTACAGATTACATACACATGTACGTGGA